ATAATTAGATAATGTGTGTCCTTTATATCTGCCCGAAGTTCAGCTTTAATTTCACCTTTCCAAGTGACTCCATTGCATTCCGTCAATTTCTGCCATAATTTCAGGAAAATGAAAAGGTCTCTCATCCCTATTACTTAATAGTTTCATTCATACATTCATCATTTTACTAAAACGAGGTTGGTGTGTCAAGGCTCCGGCTTATCTTGTGGGTTTTTTTTTGTGTGCAGGGCCTGTGTGATCCTGGGTGTAATCTTCATGGTGTCAGCTGTCTGTATCATTGGGAAGGCGATCCATGACCTCTCCATTCGGGTGATCCCGGAAGTGGTAAGTACCTCTCTAGGTGCGGTAGAAAACTCATTGTTACTATAGCTGATTATTGCCCACAATGCTATCATTTGCATTCCACTGGTAATAGCAGACTGGTCAGAAAAGTGGTCTTTATGGGGGTGATTTATAAATCGTTCACATAGAGAACAGCTATGTGAATGAGATTAGCTGCACATTATGGCCACTAGGTGAAGGTGAGGAGCATAGGAATTTTCTTACGGCCACTCGGTGGACGTGAGGAGCATAGGAACTACCTATGGAAACTAGGTGGAGGTGAGGAGCATAGGAACTACCCAAGGCCACTAGGTGGAGGTGAGGAGCATAGGAACTTCCTATGGCCACTAGGTGGAGCTGAGGAGCATAGGAACTTCCTATGGCCACTAGGTTGAGCTGAGGAGCATAGGAACTTCCTATAGCCACTAGGTGGAGTTGAGCAGCATTGGAACTTCCTATAGCCACTAGGTGGAGCTGAGGAGCATAGGAACTTCCTATGGCCACTAGGTGGAGTTGAGCAGCATTGGAATTCACTATGGCCACAAGGTGGAGGGGAGCAGCATAGGAACTTCCTATGGTCACTAGATGGAGGTGAGAATTTTCTATGCTCCTTGGCTCCATCTAGTGGCCCTAATGTGCAATAAATCTAGTTTGCATAGCTGTTCATTGTGCGAACGGTTTATAAATCACCCCCTATGTGTTAAATTATCATTAAAAGAAAACTCTTCAGTAGGCCACAATGTTGGTATTATTATTGCACTATTATTAAGGTCCTATTCACGCTCATCCACGAATGGTTAAACACGTTTTTTATTGCTCGATACTGCAACAAAGTTTAACACACAAACCATGAAGCATTGCGGTTCCATATATTTATTGCCGTGCCTGTGTTGGTGTGTGTATGAGACCATGTAACATTGTTCATTGATATATGTTTAAGGGTTTCAGCTATTTCTCAGTTCTACGCCCCGTTCACACCTGTGTGATGTGGCATCCCCGACGTGGTGCAGGACGTTATGGTAGGGCAGACCATTCATTTCAGTGGGCTGCCTACTGCATTTAAATCATTCTTAAAAAAAGCATGCTTTTTTTTTAGAATTGCTTTGCGCTGCAGGGTACTGCAGGGTAATAAGTGGGCATGCATGGTGGTACAATGCAAAGCACATGGCTAGGTGCGTTGAGATAACCGCAACTTACCTACCTATGACCAGGGCCGGATTTATTCTCCCTGCTGCCCCAATGACAGGTTCCTCAATGCGCCCCTCTGTATGCAGGCTGCATGCAAGTGATCTCGGCAACATCGCAGAGATCACTTGTACAAAACAAGCGGCAGCTTCCCCGCTGTACATTTAGCTCTGCTTGCCCAAAGTAGGACTAATTGTAGAAACAACTACCCGCCCGGCACCTGGAACTGCATGTCGCATAGGGTTGCCACCTTTTCTTCAAGCGAAACCTGAACACTCTAGCGACGTGCGAACATTTTTTGGGGAGAATAAGTTGCTGCTTATTCATATGTAAATAGTGCCACCCATTCATATGTAAGTATCACAGTTGAGACTATTTTCAGTGGGGGGCCAGTAGCCCCATCTTCATTTTGTTTGCACCTGTCTGCCTGACATCTAGTGTCCGAGTTTCTGCTGCCATGAAACCCGAACACAGCATTCCAAACTCGGACTGTCCGGGTGAATCCTGGACAGGTGGCAACCCTAATGTCTGGAGATAGGAATTCCACACCCCTGCTGCCCCTCTACTCCATGCTGCCCCAAGGCCGGGCCTCGGTTGGCCTTGTGGGAAATCCGGCACTGCCTATGACATGCGATCTTGTGCAATGTGGGGACATGCACGTGTGCATTCCCGCATTGCATAGATCTGAATGAGACCTCAGGACTTGTTCACACTGTGCCCGGAGACCTGCGCTTTTCTGTACCTGATCTATGCAGGTCTCAGCAAGGACACATACACACAATAGTTTTCAATGGGCTCCATTCACACCACAACTGAGCTGAGAGGTGCAGAAAAAGAAACACGTCTACATTTTTCCTCACTGCACATTCATTTTATGTAGCAAGGATAGATATCATAAAAGGCACTAAAACCTACATAAAAAGCATCAACACAGGTCAACTCGCCTGCGGTTTTTTTTAACGTTATGGTGTGAATGAGCCATTAAACATGCAGTGTAACTGGAGTGGCGTTCAATATGGTGAATGCGCTCTGAATGCTGCGCTGGCTTTGTCAGGAGCTTCGGAATACAATTCCTGTCTGTGATAATTACATTAATTTCATCAATGGAGTTCATGTCTTCCTAATACACAGAGGGTGGGGGTGGGGGGCTATGGATATGTACACCAATAGTATGTGACGCTGTCGTCTATAGAAAGACACATTACACCAGATGGCTCCTCGTCTCCGGCGCTGTCACCTCTCTGCGGCACTTTAACACATTTTGTGTAATTGGTAAAATGAGGGAGATAAAAATGTAACAAATTTTATCTCTTCGTGACTTTGATTTATGCGCATTGTGAAAGCGGGCTTATGGCATTCCTCGGACCCGGATCCTAATTAGTGTTTTAGTATAGAGCAGGGATGAAGCTGCAGATGTAGGGCGAGTCACTGCGTTTGTCATACACCCGGCCACCATTCTGGTGATAAACCAGAAAAGTGGCCCGGAGTGTCAGCTCTGTGGACGAGACTTTCACACCTTTATTTGTTGCTGTAAATCCTTGTAGGTTTACATTGTGGTCTTTTAAATTCAGTGTGTATGAGCCTGTGGGCCCCTTGTTGGCAGCGAGGGACCATCTCTGTCTTATGATGGGGGGGACAGCTGGCTATACACTATACAATCTGATTGTACAGCCGTGTAAAATCTCTTTGAAGGAGTATTAAAGTCTATTTTTGGGGGGCAAATATCTACTGATAGTAAGTAGTTAGCTCGCACTGCAATAGTCCTGGTATAAAAGTGTGTGTGTGGGGTCCAGAGCATCGGATGGGAGAGGAGGAGAGCGGCACAGAAGCTGAATGGACGCAGCCAGGCAGCCAGAAGTGCGCACGTCCGACAGGCACCGTGGGACCTGAGAAGTCTGCACTGGATCAGAGACCAGCACCAGCACTGGAGGGACTGTAAACTCTCCTATACAGTGTGCATTGCTCTGTCTGCTCCCCCTATAATCTGCATTGATATCTCAGCGCCCCCTGCTGGTGAGAGGAGAGCAGTGCATCCTCTGTGCTGTGCCATAGGAAGGATGCAGTTAATATGTTTGTTTTAATACAGCAAGTCTCTCCCCAGGGACGGAAAGCTCTTTAGAGCAGTGAGAGGAAAGCAGGCAGCCAACCTGTGTACTCAGCCATTGTTTACACATATATACTCCATGTCCATTATTGCCTTCTCCGAGGAGGCTACAATTGAATTATGCAGTGCCTGGGACACAAGGAAAGGTGACCGCTACAAGATCATGCTCCACTACAGCAAGGAGAGGAAAGATTCAGACTATTTGTAAAATTCTCTATAATACCAGACATTGCTGTGCATGTAATGGATACAAAACAAAGTCTGCTAATGTTCTGACGCTGAAGACCGTTCTAGCCTGTGATCATGCCGCCCTCCTCTCCGCCCTCCTCTCCGCACCCACCCACTATGGCTTTTCGGTCAGCTTTGGGAGGAAGAGCAATTGCCCCAGTTAGATTTTTGAAGGTAATCACTGTTACTTGAATCACCCCTTTCTGTCCATCCAGTCCTGAGATGTACAAACAGCACAGGCCTGTCAAGCAGTGCCGGAGACCTGCATTCTCTCTGCTGCAGTTAAGTAACCCTTACAGGTCTTGTCCCTCCCCCAACCTGTGATTGGATAGTAAAACAAGACTTGCAGTCTAGTGAGCTCATCTCTTTGTCACTCTGCTCTGTCCTCCTGTCCTGTCAGTATGTTCCTCATTAGCTCATGATCACTGGAGCACAACTGATTGGCTCTTTGTGTTGCTCCTCCCAGTTTGAACTCTGCTTCACAGTAGATGGCAAGAGGCTGATACCAAGTCACATTCAAGTAGTCACACTGCTTGCATTAAAAAAGGATTAATTTAAGAATTTGTGAAAGAATACATGGATGCATTCATGGGTGTCCTTTATATCTGTCTGGAGTTCAACTCTCGGAATGCAAAAAGTTAACCCTTCCAGTGGGGCTACCCCCGTGCTGCAAGGTTTAACTGGTTGCTTTTCTCTAGGGGCTCAAATAAAAGAAATATACTCGCCTGATCCACTGGCGTCCCGAGGCCGGGTGTCACCCGGAGCAGATACCGGGTGACACCCCTCCTTGACCTCATCGTGCATGCGTGTGACGTCACCACGCACATGCAGAGAAGAGGGGACGTTCACTCAGCGGGATGAGGTATGCCGCCGGATCCCCTCCTCTCTCCTGCAACTGTCGGGTTCCCGGTCCATGACTGAGTGCCCAACTTCTCAGGGGAGGTGATACCAAAATGACTGTCAGTCATTTTGGTGTCACCCCTCCAATGGTGTCACCCGGGTGTGGGCCGCACCCACCTTGTGAGCACACTGACCTGATCCTCTATTCCTCCTGGCAGCTAGATTGGTCCCCGCAGCCTCTCCTCCCCTGGGCTCCAGCAGTCTAAGCCCCGCTGACATCATCATGTCTGATATAGTCCATTCACCTGTATTAGATGTGAGGACGCCAAGGAACATACCACAGCTGCAGTGGAGGTAGAGAGAGGTGAGCGCTGACCCCTGTAAGACCGAGGATTAGGTGAGTATATCTTCTATATTCCGGCCCCTGGACCAAAATGAGCAGGTACCCCTTG